ATCGAGATCATGTCCTCGCTCTGTCATCCGCACGTCATCACCATATATGAAGGTACATTATTTCAAAAACAAAATGCTAATGACTCCATGTTTGGGTTTGATTTTAATCATTCTGTTCCACACACTACATACAAACGTGATATCTTGGGTGGGGGGAAGGAGTCTCTCTGTTTGAGAGTCCGAGTTTTGTCACGCACGTCTTTGTGCTCAAGTCTGATGCAGAGTTACGTAAGTGGCAACTTCCTGCCGTAATCCGGCGCCGCTGATAATGTGCAGAGCCCCGTGTCTTCCAGCACCCCTCACGCCTGATGAGGTGGTCATCACTCAGCGTTTCTCCACTTCAGTGCACGTTTGTTTGCTGTATAGCTGTAATTGGTGTAAATTAGCGGTTGCACAGATAATGGACGTCTCTCACACAGCTCAAGTATTGCAAATGGTTTGAAGCGTTGAATTCAAAGGAGCTCTGCTCTTCTGTATTTCAGTATTTGAGAACAAGGACAAAATTGTGATTGTCATGGAGTATGCCAGCCGGGGGGATCTGTATGACTACATCTGTGACAAGAAAAGCATCCCCGAGCGGGAGGCCAGGCATTTCTTCAGGCAGATTGTGTCAGCTGTCCACTACTGTCATCAGGTAAGGCAGTTTTTCTCATATCGGATCTTCAACCTGCTGTTGTCTTAAGCCTAATGACACAGGGCTGCGCTCAGATTCACTGTTTTTCCAAGGCGCTGGCACCTCCAAAGTTACATAATGGATATTATTCACTGTCAGCCTGGGGGAAAATGAACAGTTGGTCTGTACTGAGACCAAGTGAAGGCTAAAGGCCAGCAATCCCAACATGCACACGCATGGTCTCACAGTTTAATGAGGGTGTGAAGGAACAGAACACACACACACAGCAATCGGTTGTTCTAGCAAGCCCAGAGCCGTGCAATTACCACCATTCAGTGAACATTATATTTTATCATGGCTCTGCTTGGCAAAGCATTTATAAATAAACGTTTGCTAGACAGTATTTGCTGAGTGACCTGCCCTTTCATATTACTGTGTTAACCACCTGTCCTTTACCTCTTTACGGAGGTCTGATGTCTCGTTAAACATTTATTTATCCACGTTATTCAGCAGAGAAAGGCCATCTGTTATATCACCTACATTTGGCACAGCGACAAATTCCAAAGTTTCTTCATGATGGCATTTTAACAATAAATGAACGCCACGCTACACAAAGAATGTGTTCGTTGCTACAGCAAGTGCTCATATGTAAGGAGCAGTAGCTGACCTGCTTTTTTTTTTTTTGTAAGTGAAGCAAATGCAAACTTGAGTCAAAGGCATGCCCCCCTACAGAGCAGAGCACAATGAGGCACTGCTGACGTACCAGAGAGGTCTTCTGTTAGAGAATAATGTGGTGTAACCCAGTAAAGCAAATCCTTTCTACGTCATGCAGACAACTCCCAGTAAACCGATCCCTAACAGCATGCATGAAACAAAGCTTAAACAAAAAAGAAGGAAAAAAACAAACAAACAAAAATAAATCCTTTTTCCTCTTAGAACGGAATCGTACACCGGGACCTGAAACTGGAGAACATTTTACTGGATGACAACGGCAATGTTAAGGTATGCATGTGGATTGAAATCAATAGCCTGCGTTACGCATTTTATAACTAACAGTGATGCGCTGTAACTGAAGAACTTCAATGGGAAAATACGCTTCACATCACATCTTTTGTTCTCACAGATTGCAGACTTTGGGCTGTCGAACCTCTACCACGGTGACGAGTTACTTCAGACTTTTTGCGGCAGTCCTTTATATGCCTCCCCGGAGATTGTCAACGGGCGTCCGTACCATGGCCCAGAGGTGGACACTTGGTCTCTTGGGGTGCTTTTGTACACGCTGGTTCACGGAACCATGCCATTTGACGGGAACAACCACAAGATGCTAGTGCAGCAGATCAGCACCGGAGACTACCGGAAACCAAACAAACCCTCTGGTAAGTTTTTAAAATGGATTTTTCCTCAGTGAAGCTAAATTATATTTTAGCTTTTATAGGAGTCTTGATTTTTTCCCATTTCTTTCCATCAGATGCATGTGGACTCATCCGCTGGATGCTGATGGTGAATCCTGACCGCCGAGCTACAATAGAGGAGATTGCCGGTCACTGGTGGCTCAACTGGGGCTATCCGCAGCCGTTACTGTGTGAGAGAAGGAGCAGTCATGTGGAGCAGACCTCTGCCCCAGTATCTCCGTCAACATCACAGCCTGCTGGGCTGGCCGGTGTTGCTAGTTGGCTGCGTCGTACATCCAGGCCTTTACTGGAGAATGGCTCCAAGATGCGCTGCCTGCTCCGCACGCAGGGCAGTGCAGGGGATGTAGTCCGACAACGGTCCCTGCGAAGGTCGCGTAAGGAGAATAACATCACCCAGGCAGTTCACGAGGGTAGCACAGACACTCGGCCCTCCAAGGGTATTCTGAAGAGGCGTAACAGTGTGAAACAGAAGTCGATAAGCGAAACATCAACTGTCAGTTTAGTGGAGCCACAAAAAATCTTGGACTTGTCTGCACCAGGTAAAGCACCTTCAGCTGCACAGCTGCCTCGCAAAGGTATCCTAAAGAAGCCTGCTGAGCAAGAGTCGGGGTATTACTCATCATCTCCAGAGAACAGTGACTCTGGCTTGGTAACGCAAACTAAAGAGTGCCCTTCAGCACCCTACAGGAAGGGCATCCTCAAGCGTAATGGAAAGTTCTCCTCTGGTGGGTTACATGAGTTTGGGTCTTTGGACCAGCTGGCGACATCTCTGCCTCATGGAGGTGGCCGATCAAGACCAAGCGGAGCCATCAGCGAAGATAGCATTTTATCTTCAGAGTCCTTTGATCAGCTGGATCTACCAGACCACGTGAGGCCAGCAATGCAAATGGATAAACCAGCCAAGGCGAGCATGAGAGGCTGCGTTTCTGCTGACAACCTTCTGGACATCCAAGAAGATAGAATTCTGTCCGATGGGCTGTTGAGGTCCTGGGACTGTTACAAGTCTGGAGTGGCTGACAGTGCCTTTTCGATTTCAGACTGTGATAACGTCACAGAGGCTTACAAACAGGCCATGGTCATACGAAGCTCCAATGCAAGCTGAAGACCAGTAATAAGGGACAAGATGCTGGCTAAAGAATTAGTGGTCATCCTGAATTTTGAAGTGACTTTAACAATATTGTGGTCATGAAAGCCAAAGTGCGTTGTGTGAAAATACCAGAACACTGTAAGGTGATCATTTTGGCAGAATTCAGGAATTAACACAGTACCAAAAAAAGGGAGAAGACTGATTGTATTTGAGATGGTCGATTTGATTTAACCGAAACTAAAATAAGGAAATGCAATTATGCAAAGGAAATGTTACAGAGTGCAATTTGACTTTCATCAAACAGTCTCAGGAGAAGAGAGCTTGAACTCTGGTTTTCATTGTTAGAGGTTGCTAGTCAATTAATTCACAATGAAACCAAAAGCACTTCAGAGATGGAAATTCGGGAGACATTTTTAATACAGTTACAGTAGATCTGATTGAATGTAGCTGGTTTGTGTCCGAGTTACAGCAGCAGAATACTCTGCATTGTGGTTTATTGTCAACAAGAAAGTTTGAGAAAGTTCAATGAGTGTTATTTGGATTCTAGCTTCGTAATCTTCTGTCAACATGATGTTTGTCTAAGATGATGACGGCAATAGCACACAGTTTCGATGTTGGAATGAGTTTTGTTTATGGGTAAGGTAACATTTCACAGATGCCAAAGAGCAGATTTGGAAAACCTTGGCGCTAAAAATCCCCAGCAAAATGTGCCAAGTTTTGATGTTTGAAACGGGGACTACTGACTTTTTTTTTTTTTTTTATAAATGTTTTTCCTGAAATGACTTGTTCTGTGTTTGGATAATGACTTGAATAATAATAGTGACCCTATGAATCACTGGCCTAACCAGTCGAACCTGCCTTTGCTTGCTAGCTTGCGCTGATACAAGTGCACAAATAGCCTTCGAGTCTACATACACGTGTGGGAGTTTTACAAAAACAGGTGGGGCCCAGTTATTTTATTTTATTTTTTGTTTTGTTTTGAAAATCAACAGTATGAAGTTCCCCAACTAATTACTATTTGTTTTGGGGTTTTTTTTATGAAGTTGAATCATTGGTTATGGAACAGCGTAGTATTTTATAAGGCCAGATAACACCAGTTAAAAATAGCGCTGCCAAAAAGTAGTCACTGAATCAAAACTAGAGTTCAAATTAAAATCATAAATTAGGCATGCAGGTATTGATCCTTAATTAAGCTTGACCAGATATTTTCGTAGCTACCTGGCTCTGTCTTGCTTTATGAAATACTCCTGGTATTCAGCTACATCAGCATGTATGTTTGATTTTAATTTGGATGCTAAGCCAGTGCCTGGAATAGCACTTTCAGGCCACTGAAACCTGATAAATACACCATTTATGTATCAGTGTCATGTAACAAGAGTTGCACAAAGCCATTGATGCAAGCTGCAGAACCATGTTGTTCAGAAACATGGTTCTGATGAAGGAGGCTCATCAGGAATTGAAAGCCTGTTCATATGCAAAAGATACTTTTTTTTTCTTTTTTCTTTTTTTATTTTAATGAAAGGATTTTTTCTTAATTTCTGGAATCTGATGGATTGTATTAAGATGAAGGTAAAACTCATTCTCACATATGATCTTTGATTTTCACGTGTGACAAGGAAAATATTGTTTGTAGGATGTTTGTTTTGTTTTTTGCTTTTATAAAATAATTTAATGTGTTTGTAATGTGGGCATTTCATTGTTTTTGTTTCTCCCTTATCCCATATATTTCAGGTTTAATTTAAACCACGTCTGCCAAAGTTACTGGCTTATCATTTGTGTGACTGTTCTGCTGTGTTGTCCTTGCTGGGATGAGGAAGTCAATAAAAAAAACGACAACAAACAACTCATTTGCTGGCCAGTGTTGTTAATGGCCTTCATACAGATATTGCATTGACGTATAACAGGATTCATTTGCATTCAGCACAGCTCGAACCGCAGACAGACTTCAGTTTAAACTTAACAGAACCACCATCACTAGTATTAGATTTGCAAAAAGTAACAATTAAAATGTGCAAACACTGCTGGCAGGATTGGGTGCAATTTAATTCTCACTGTCACAGCAGGTTTTTATGTAGATCAAGGAATAAAACTGCTTACGAGATTGCAGAAAACGACACTCTTAAACAAAGCATGCACAAAAAAATAATCTTAATCAAAGAGCCACGTAGATGAATTTCTTCCATCTTGTCTGGTCTTCTCGTTTCATTTCCTGGCAGTAAACTTTTCAAGGCAGGGTGTCAGTACAACATCCTGAATGTCAGCAGGGGTGTAACTGCTCCCTGATCCGTGTTCCTTTGGCTTGCAAACCATATCCTGAAAACTGGAGGGCAGGCTGAGCTCTAACACAATCCTGAGCTGGTCATAGCAGAGGAGCAGGGCGTTCTGTTCGGGGCCACGTTTCACATAGAAACAATGAGTTTGTCAGCGGTGACAAGGTCGCACATATAATCATGGATATGTTTTAAGATGCTTTTTAAATAGTGGTTTGTTTGCAGCAGTTCTCAGGCTGTTTGATCAAAGACGACAAATACACCCATCGCTGTTGACGAAAGGGCAAAGTCAAAAGAGATACTGCCTGAAACTCAGTCAGTTAAACATTAGCCTTACCTGATCAGCGGCCAAAAGGTCGGCCAAAAACTTGATCACTGAATCTGCAGACACGCCAGCGTCCAGCAGCTTTAGCTTCTGCGTGGCGATGCTCACGCAGGCACACGTTACAGTGGAGGGCGGGAAGACTGAAAACCTGCATTCTGATAATTAAAAACCTTTTATTACTTTCGTGTCTTCTATTAATAATGAGCACTTTGTCCACACAATATTGAGAAAGAAAATAGATGGTAGACAGATGGTCGCCACCACGCTCGACACACCCTGACAGATGAACCTAAAAGCTTAAAACAGACACTTCCCAGAACAGGATAATATGATATCCTAATGGCTTGAAGCAGGAGAAATGGTGAGACAAAAATTCAGCCATTCAGTTCTTGCTTTACACCCTTAGAGTGGGTTAAAATGTCTTATTTTTATGGGGCTTAAAATGTGTAAAAGCTGCCTGAAAGAGCAGCAACTAACTGTATCCCTGTGACCTGCAGCCTCGGGCAGTATTGCAGATAGAGATAGGTGGGAACTCGGCCAGCTGAATAGCTGGATGCAGGTCTTTCATAGCAGACAATGCAGGATTACACAAACTCTGCTCTCACTATCCAAAATGAACTGCTGACACATCATAATCATGGTTGGGGCCGTTTGGTGCCCATTGTTCACGGCTTAAATAGTCCCTTGATGATCATGAAGTAAAAAGTCTTATCCCTGATTGTTTTACAGGGGGGTGTAAATGAGATGATTTCATTACATTACAAGATTTTTTTTGTTAAAATGTATTTTCCATTAGTTGTCTGCCTTAAATTGAACACTAAATTGACTGAAATTGTCTTTCATTTGGGGATATCATTTCATGTTTAGGTAACTCAGTTATGCAACGTACCCATGGCAGCCAGAGCGATGTAGGTGTGAACATGCCTGCGCATGTTCTGAAGGTGGGGAGGTCGGACAAAGGGGAGAGCGTGAAGAATTGGCTCCAGGAAGTCAGAGGGGACCACGGAGGCCAGACACCACTCTAACTTTGACACCACTGCCAGCTCCCAGTGCTGCAACACACACACACACACATTCCTTGAAACCAGTCCACCATCAAAATCCCACAGCAGGAACGCTCATTCAGATCAGCCAACGAGTGCTGGTCACCCTAACCCCTCAGTCAAACCCCCGTGTCCTGAACAGTGTGCATGCCTGCAAGCCTTTGGTCAAAAAAATGATTGTGAAAAGGGAACATTTCCGGCTTCCTACCTACAAAGATCTTCTAAAATGGCCTTGATAAAATTGTGCCCTTAGAAATCGTACCAATACGTGTCTCTACTTAGTCTTCAATGAATATTACAACTGTTGTTCCTTTTCAGATGGAATAAAAGTATTGAAAGGTGTGTCCACGATCCATCTGCAGTTGCCCAATGTCATATCATTGAGGCCTAAATCACAGTTTGAGAAGCACTGCTTTGGTCAAAGTATGCATTTCTGTCAAGTTTATAAATGTCCTCTCATGAAATTCATGACAAAAGCAAAGCTACAAGACTGTCATTACGCCGTCTGATTTTCATTTGACCACCAGGACACTTGAGGTTCATGGGAATGTAGCTGGCCTTTCTGGATGCGGCCAAAACAGGAAAACTATCCACAGATTAAGAAGCAACAGTGTTGATTTTGGGGATTATCGTGAGATCCATGGAAAACAAGTATTACAGATTCCACTTTTAAAAGAGACAAACTGGAGGCTCAGTTAAACCATGAGGTCGCTTTGAATATTTGCAATAAATGCAACAGAAAGAGGGGTCACAGTGGGGTGGTTTGCAACACCGCCTCACTGCAAGAAGGTCCTGGGTTTAAATCCAGCCTCCCTGTGTATACTTGGGATGTACCAGTAATGATCTGTTAAATAAAATAAGTATAATCCCTTCACAATTTATTTTATTAGAAGCCTAAAGAGGTTTAAAAAAAGTGCTTTAAGAGAAGCATAAAAAGCATCAAGGATGTCAAATAAATACATTTTATTTTAGTGGGAAAAGTGGATTCATTTATTCACTTATTATGTGGGATCCCTCAGACTTATGCGACCAAACTTAATTGTGCATTTGATTATTACTTTTATTTATTTATTTATAACCCAGACTTGGTCAGTGGTGGTAGTTTTTCTGTGCTGTTTGGGGGGAGATAAACATCAAGGATGTTAGCTCCTTTATAATAGTTAATGCCTTTACCAGAATGTCTGAGACTGAAATGGAGTTTTCTGTGTAGACACAAAGCTTGCTGGCAGTCAGGGGGATCGTTTCTCTCATTTTGGAGGCCAGGAACATGCAAACTGCCCCTAACAGCTGCAGGTTGGTCTTCTCAACTGCAAAACGGCTCAGGTAACAGTCCAAGTAACGCATCGCCTGCGGAAACACCTCCTCCTCGCATTTCTGCTCCTCACACACCTGTCAGACAGAAATCTGGTTTATTTCACCTGAACTAGGTGGAAAATTACACTGTGACTGATGAGTGTATACCTGAAACATCCACACAGCTAGTATCCTTCTCATGTACGGCTGGACTTCTGTCTGCACCCCGTCAAAGGGGGAGGTCACCCGGCTGGTCTCCTCAAAGGCCCGCAGGTTGTGTAGCACTCTGAGGTCACCGGTCACAGCGTGGTCCCTGCTCGCCCGGGGGACCACAGCCTGCTCTGTTTCACTAACATTTCCCATCTCCGGATCAACTCTGAAGCCCTCCATCTCCAGACACATCCAGTTCAGTGAAGGAGGATCAATAAACCGTTTAGCTAACGTTAGCTTCGGTCCGTTATGGCGGCCATTCCTCTTTTAGCTAGCTGTCCATTAGCTGCTGACATAACGCCATTTTCAGCCAATATTTTTTCTTTAATTTTCTTTAAGAGTATTAATTTCAAACTGAACTGAATTTTATTTTAGCCCTCAAAAAATAAACAAAAATTAAAGCTGAATATTTTCCAGCTTATTTGCATTTTGTCTTCTTCTTGTCTTCCTTGCCATTTTAAATGCATATACATTTACTAAAAATTAAAAATATTTTTGGAATTTTTTCCCCCTGGAAATCTCGAAGACCTCTAAAATCCACCCATATCTCATAGCCTTATTTAGGAACTTTCTTTTTTGTTTATTTTTGTTCTGTGCCATTCAGCAAATTTGATACCAAGTAAATACAGGTCTAGTATTGTCGATACCAACACTTTCTGCCTATAAAGGCAGCTTATAGAGGACAGCGCTGTGTCAGGATTTATGAGATGAGTCATCATTAACTTACAAATACTGAACACATTTTAATGATCACTAAACCACTGTAATATTTACTTTACAAAATCAACCTTTCAATTGTTTATGTATTTTGAAACTAGGTTTTTTGGAGACCTTGAATATAAATGTGCCTAGCTGTCTCTAAAGCAGTTTGGGTCAACTTCTGTAGTTGGCATTTAGTTCAACTATATTCAAGCCAATGCTCACTCAAACTCACTCAACAACTACATCTCAGACTCTACCGGCTTAGCAAGCATGCTAAATATTAAAGTTTATGACAGCAGTTAGAAAAAGACTGAACACGTATGGCTTATTTGAAAGGGTTGTCACAAGAAAGTCTTTTCTCTCTAAAAAGTTGCACCTGAGAAAACAAGACTTCTGGAACAGTGTCCTTTAGATAAACAGGAGCAAAGTTGAGATGTTTTGGTCATGTTGCACAGCACTATGTTTGGTGAAAACCAAGCACAGCGTACCGGTATAAACACAGTGGTGGAGGGCACCTTGCATTGTGTTCACAATAAACTCCTCTGATTGCTAAAGCTTGACTGAAATTAGTTCTGCAACAGGACAACAAACCCAAGCACAACAGCAAATCTAGACTGCTCAAAAAAGTCAAAGAAGCTTTTTTTTTTTTTTTAGTCAGACTAAAGCATCGAGTCAGGTAAACCTCTGAGATATTGATCTGGTTAGTTAAGTTGCAGAGGGCGTTGTTAATCAGTTTCAGCTGCTTTGTGTTTCAGGGAATTAACAAAGGCAAAGGTTAAAATATCAATACTACAGTCTAAATATCAGGAGAGCAAATCAATGAGACAACCGGGGTCCTTTCTTGTCTTTTGAAACTTCCTTCCAGGAGACAGGAAGTTATTCTAAGAGAGCTTGACAGGGCCGAAGGTGGTCCTTAAACCATCTGCAGAACCGGTATCTGCTCACTGCCATTAGGTGGCAGGATGAAAATCTTGGACCCGTTTTGAGACTGCGCCGGTGAACTCAACCCCCTGTAGGTCGATCATTTTCATTTCCATCACATGATGTGACAGCCTTTCATTCCTAACACTTTAGTTAGTTCATATCAGTAAAGAGATCAGCATGGTTTTTTCCCCAGTGACATCTGATGCTTTCAAAGTGTTCCTTTAAGGTTTTGAGCAGTGTACAAAAAGGCCCAGGGCAAACTTTTTTGGTGTAACTATGTTCCATTTGAGGTCAATAAACTGAATTACCTAATGGCTGTTAAACTCCTTCACAAGACGGACACGATTATACACTAGTAATGCAGGACTCATTAACTTAGTTTGGTGATATAAATCTGTGAAGTTATTTGTAAAAATGTCTAAAACCAGAGGCAGCTCTCTACTTGGTAATCTGACATACTCAACATGTTACAACTCCTACAGGCAAAAGCAATAAATGGACATTGATGGCAAATGTTTAAAGATTCAGTTCGTTTTTAATCAATGTTCTGCTTCATAACAACAGAGCTGTTCTTATTTAGATGAACAGAAAAGCCACGTGACCACTCCTCTGCATCTGTAGAGAAAAAGCTTGAGCGTGACGATACGAAATTACATTAGCAGTATCACTAGTGATGTGCATTTCCAAATGTGCGAACTCCAAGACACTGATCTTTCCAAACTCTTTTATCCCATGACAAGAAGAATATTGAAAATCCAAGTTTGTTTTTTTTTCACGCTGAGGAAACATTACTAAGGAAGAAAACCGAACCAAATCAGTCCATTTCCACTGTAACAGGGAGCCCGATTTCAATGTCCCTCGACTCCGAGTTCTGCAGCTCCCTGCGGATCTCTGCAGAGATCTGTGGGTGTGTTTGTATCTTGAGCAGCTCCAGCAGTGCTTCCTTCTGTTCAGACCCCAGGTCAGCCTTGTAGCGCTGAGCCAAGGTGAGTAAACTCTGATGCCACAGCACAGGAAGCTCGCGTTTTTCACTGCGGAAAGACAGGAAGTGGGCCACCAAGGCATCCAGAACACGGAAAGGCAGGGCGTACTTCTTGTCGAGCAGGAGGCGCAGGAAAATGCTGTTGGCACCATTATACTCCATCTCTGCCAACTTAAGCATTGCAGCGCTGAAAGACAAGAAAGACTGCTTGTTAGATAACCTTGAACTCTGTGTTAACTTGCCTGCACTGCACGGAATGAGGCCTTCAAGGACAGCTGGTTGATACTTCACATGAGCAAATGCTGACATCTGTCTGCCAGCGTATGTCAGTGAGGAAGCCTCACCTGGAGTGCAGCACGGGAATTGAGCACTTCGTGAGGATACTCCCGATGATGATGGCTTCCCTGAGAGTGCATGTCCCAGATTCACAGAGAGGAATCAGGATACCTGTGTGAAGGTCCAGGAAAAAAATGTTAAATAAGTGTTCCAGAAAAACTATAATAGACAGAAATAAAAAAAAAAGGTAAAAAAATTAAGGATCAAACTGCAAGTTGTTTTTTTTTAACATTTTCAATTAATTATAGTATTATGCCATTATACACTCTAATGGAACACTCAATTCTATGATGTTCCATTCTATACCATGACGTGGCGTTCTGTGATTCTATTCTATGATTACAGCGTTCCACTCTATGGCACACCATTCTGTACTATGGGGTTCTCTTCTATACTATGGCAAGTCATTTGTGACTTAAAACAGACTTGCAATAGAAATGCATTTAGGAGCAATGTATGAACAAAAACAACATTAAACACGTGCAGCGCCCAGTTGTAAACAAAAACACTGATAAAGGCAACAGTGGCAAAGTGGAGCTGGAGTGTGTTTACACACCGTGAAGAGCAAAGAGGCGGAGCTGTTACTGAGATGGTGTGCTCAGGTTAAGTAAATGAAAACACTTCTCCTACGTCCAAAACAGCAGCGCTGTTCCTGTAATCACCATTAAAACCTTTACTGATAAAACACTGGGGAAAGCCTTCCAAGAACACAGAGTCAAGGTAAATGTTTGATGCCTTAGTTTAGATTGAATATACACCTTATTTTATTTGTCTTTCACTGTACTTGAGTTTATTTATGTGTTTTTCCATTTAAGAAAAGTTATCTTAAAAAATGTTTTAAATATAACATCTTGTTGCATGCAGTTAAACTTTAAAACACTAGAATTTCTAAAATTTAACCCAATGAGCAGTTCATTTTGACTGACTTGTGTTTGATCATTCTTGAATATTTATTATTGCTCATTAATAAGACAAAAGTATCAATCAATAGGATACACATTTTCATTATTTGATTAACAAAACAATCGATAGCTGCAGCACTAGTCTAATGTATGACATTCCATTCTGTGCCACAACATTCTATACTGCGAAATTGCAGTCTATGGCGTTTAATTCTATACTATGGGATTCCATTTGGTGACACCGTTCTGTACTATGTTACATTCTATACTATGGTGTTACATTCTATACTATGGTGTTCCATTCTATAGCACTCCATTCTACACTATGGCATCCCATTGTATGGTTATAGCATTCCATTCTATAGCTTCCCATTCTATGACACCCCACTGTATAATATGACTTTCCATTCTATACACACCATTCGATGCTATGGTGTTCCACTGTGTAATAGGGCTGTTCGATATAACGATATCGGATGACGATATAAAAACGTCTATTGTTTCATTTTACTCTATCGTTTGTTTCGTGGTGTCGCAAAATAAACTGTTTACGGCAATATTTTTTTCATCGTTTTGACGGTCACTGTAGTGGCTATATTAATTTCTTAAAGTTCTCTCTTTCTCTTATATTTAATATAACCACACTACTGACGGACAAGCGCCTGTTTTTATGTGTTGTCGTTAGCAACAACGACGGTAAAACCATCGCATGTCCGCTTGTTTATGTTCCACATAAACCTTTCACAATAAAACTCAAGATCCTGTTGAGAATTTTCAAAATAAACGGAATCATGTGAAAAAGTATGCAGAGAGTTTACGGATGAGAAGCAAAAAAGAGCCGCCAGGTGCTAAAAAAGAAACCTTAGACTCAAACGTTAGAACAGGCTTTTCCCCGCAGCACGCCGTGTAATAAATACTCACAAAGAAAACAGCGGCCGTTAAAACCTGTCTAAAAATGTGTCGTTTCATGCATCGGTTAAAACACTCGACTCCAGGTACATGACGCGCAGCTGGAAACACTTCACCTATCCGAGATTCACAGAATTTACAGAAAATATTAAATTTTTTGTGATTTATATCGTTATCGGGATATGTGATTTTGGTCATATCGCACAGCCCTACTGTATAATATTCCATTCTATACTATGTCGGTCCATTCTATGACATTCCATTCTATACCAAAGCATTCCACTCTATATCACCCCATCATATATATCATTCATTCTATGATGTTCAATATGCCATACATACTGACGGTCAGTGTCAATGTCTATGCAAAGTTTCATTAAAATAGCTCCACTCGTCTAGGAGTAGACAGGATCCTACAAACATACATACATATGCTAGAATCATTATAACCAGGTTATGATTATTATTACTGTTATTTTTCTTTGGGCTGCATGTGCTCATGAAATCCAAATTAAGGTGATTCTGCACAAGTTTGCCTGTTGTTTAATTATGTTAA